GCACGGAAAGATGCAGGCAGGTATGTAACCGTTGGCCATGCCAAGCTCGGAGGCTTGCGGGAGGTTCTTTTGCGCGCACAAAACCGGCTTTCTCAACCGGACCACGGTTGCTTCTGCTGTTGCTAACAAACACTGACCCAGGGACTTTGGGTAGCTTGGCGGGACCTTATAAATTACCTTAAAGGCTTCGCCGGGGTCCACACGATGTCCGGAGTCAACCATGTGGGCAAGGATGGAGCTGTTGATGCTTCTGACTTCACCTTTGACCAGCCATGCCGGGGGTGCTCCCGTATTCTTTTGGATAAGTGCCGACTCGTGCGACCGATATAACCTGCCAGCATGTTGAGTTTTTTTTACGACTGTGCGATGTTCATTCATAATACATTGTATCCGTCAATTTATTAATGCTGTCCCTGATACATACAGCATGATCCATGTCTATTTCTAAATTCTATGAGAGCTATGCATACACTTCCTCAAACCGTAAGCAAGAACGTACTTTACCTTAAACACGATGAACACAGCATCCATTTTGTAAAACTTGAATTCAGTTCTAGCAGTCAGTAGGTTTCAAAATCATCCGGCAGCTTAGAAACGTTTTAAAACCAAAGGAAACCCTACCTTTAAGAATAAAATTTAAAGAAGGCGTAATTTGCTAGCAAATAAAGTGCAAGATAAGATTCTTTCGTGCATGCTTTCCGCCAAATATATTTGAATTTATGACGGCAGTCAAGATGAATGTTAAAAATGCATATTATTTATGTAGCCATTTTTTACAGAATCAAATTTTTCGCAGCGGTCAGAAAGAAGCTTATCACAGATTCGGCCTCCTACCGTGACTGAAAATACTTGAAATCGGACTGCATGATAAACAGTATTTCAACCCTACTCAGTGTTGGTTTGCGAGTGATTATCGGTCTTTTTCAAATTACGGAATGTTGCTTGCAGCACTCACCGTACTGTACGTATGCTCGCCAGATATTCTTCTGAATTCCAACCTTCTTCAACCGTTCGTCCTCGAAAACTTTCCCAGCCCCCCGGCCATCATTGTTATTTCTCTCCTCCCTGTCTGCCTGCCCTGTTTTAGCCTCAATGACGAATTCGTCACCGTCTTGGGCGCCGACTGGTTTCTCCTCTTTATGGCCCCCGAGGTGCACCATACGAGCGCCGTCAAAGCTCTGCGCTGTTTCAGC